AAAGTGTGCAGTGTGCATACATTTTTACTTTCCCTGCTCCCTTTCATGGTTTTTGAAATTTTCCTGTGGATCCTAATACAGCGGGTTGTGCTCTTCGGCTTAATTATCTCTGCAATTAACATCATTTCAGTTACCAAGGAGGCTTAGGTCTGAAAGGGATAAAGATCAAAGTCTTCTCCCCACGTGGAGTCTGAGAAGCCCCAAGCAGAACTGGAAAAAACCAGGAGAGCTGGATTTCCCACTCCAAAGTCTCCTCCAAATAAGTCCTCCTGAGGAACTGGAGCAGGGCCGGCCAAAGAGTCAGAGGATGAAATTGAAGCTGGAGATGCCTCTGCACTGGGAACATGTTCCATGAGGATGGACAGAACAGGTCTGCCTCCTCACCAACAGCTGCTCCCCCTTTCCTGTGTGCCATAGATGAAGCTCAGTGTGCCTCACCTGGGTGGTTCCTGTAGGGTGGGAGCCTAACATTTAAGTCCATGTCTCTGCATTGGTGTTAAATCTCTCACCTCAGTCCCTTATCCCAAACCACACACAGAAAAGCAGACCAGAACGAGCTCATCAAATCTAGTTGCCATTCACACGCTTGCTAGAAGAGATCACATATAGCCAACAGGGTAGAATGGTAGGAAAAACAAATCCAGTTCGGTCCACGTTGCTCTCTCTACAGGTGGAGCAGCGCTGTCCCCACACCAGCCACAGCAAGTGCTCTTGTCAGATGCTGGACTGCGCCAGATGTCCCATCTGCAGACACAGCCCTGGGGACACTTGGAGCAGTCCACTGGGCAGCAGAAGTAGCAGCCTGAGAAAGAAGAGAGAGGAGATGTGAGGCAATGTTTACCCCTCCAGGCCTCACACCAAGGAAGTATTTGTTATTTATTAACTTATGAACAGGGTCTATCATAGCCTATTTTAGACTTGAACTCATCCCTCTGCCTCTACCTCCCAGGTACTGATATGAATGACATGCCCACAGTACCATGTCCTATAAGGAAAATTTAATGAAGCTCAGATGTGAACTTTAGGGTTTACATCTCAATAGAGGTAGGCTACCTGGTTCTGGGACCTAAGGACAGTGAAGGAATCCTGGAGTGGAGCAGAATGATCTTCGGGGGTCAAAGGACAGCCAGTGTCCCCAGAGTCACACTGGAACAGCTGTGGCTTCCCACCCAAGCTCAGCCCCAGCCCCAGATCTCTAAAGCAGGCCCCACCCGCTCTTCCTGCTGGAGGTACACCAGCAGGCTTTGTAGCTGCAGGAGCCTGAGCAGATGCAGGAGCTGCCTGTGGGGTAGAGAAAGATCAAGTGAGCTGGAGACACAGGCAGGAGCCAGGGGACAATCCCCGAGGCCAGCACTCACAGCTGTGCATGTCCAGACCTTGCTCTGTCTCAGATGGAACACAGAGAAGCATGCCATTGGGCCTCCCCACCCTACTGCTGGGAAGTACAGTCATTCTCAGAGGTTTCTCCTACAGGGAAAGAAAGAAAGAAAGGCGCTCCAGCCACAGTGGGTACAGATAGGTGGTGATGGACAGGAAGGCTAGAGCCCACTCTTATGAGACCCTTGAAATGAGACCCTTGAGAGAAGGAAGGAGGAATGGAACTTTGCAAGCTCCAAAGTATGGTGAAGCTGCTGAGAGACAGAGACAGAGACACATACAGACAGACAGAGACACACACACACACACAGAGAAACACAGAGACACACACAGAGACAGAGACACAGAGACACACAGAGAAAGAGACACACAGAGAGACAGACAGACAGATCACGAACTAGCAATGGGTTCCTTAGAGAGATAACTAGCAACACATAGTAAGGAGCCCACTTTATCCAGAAATGAAAATGTGTCCTCTGAAGTCGTTTACCAGTGGCACAGGAGCAACTGGGGTCCATTTCCAACGCAAATGGGTTGAGGTCCAAAGGAATTGGCCAAAAGTCAGGCTTCTGAGAGGCACGTGGAAGCCTAGGAACCTGCCTGCTCACTTTATAGCGAAGGCCCCACTCTGTGTGCAAAGGTCCTGCCCAGACCTTGCACCCACAACTCAGTTGACCTGTAGTTGACTAGGCTGTGCAGAATGTCCAGAGGACCCACTCTTCGGTTCCCTCATAGGGGAAGGGCAAACAAACTCTTGTATTATCCCACAAAGGAAAAGTCCCAGATGCAAGAGCCAGCCCAGGATGACAGCAATTTAGGACATGACCCGAGGTCTTCATTCCCCCAGAAGGCACCTCCTCAGCCTTCTATCCACCCTAGTGACTCCCCGGGGATGCACCTGCACCTCTGGGTGCAGCCAACAGGCACCTGACCAGTTCAATGATGTCACGGAGGGGGAGAAGGTGGTGGTGGTGGTGGTGGTGTGTGTGTGTGGGGGGCGGTGTGAAGTGTGGACCTCAGTTTTTGAACTTTAGCAAGCCAGACAAGGCAAGGTGGACCTGCCTTCAGGAGCTCCACCAGAAAGCAGGCAGTGGACAAAATGAACCCACTCAGTTCAGAAGTCAAGATGTGACCTCCTCTAACTCAGGCGCAATCAGTGTGGAGGCTGGGTACTGCGCACCCTAAGGCCCATGCCAGGTATCTTACACCAAGCTGGAAGTGCTAAGCAAAATTCGAAGAGGCTGAGGCCCCGCAGGGTGGCCTATTAGGACAGAAGACTGGCAGCTTCCAAGTCCGCACCCGGCGGGCTGCAACGGCCCCGCCCTCTTCGCAGCACCGGTGAACTCGCGCCCATTGTCACGCTACGGGGGTGTGGCTGAGCTGAGCGCAAGCTTCCCGCTGGGCGCAGTCTCCGTGTGCAGAGTGCACCCAGCGGCCAGGGCGTTTCTTCTGCACCCGCCACTGGGCGGCCCCGCGGGAGGCGGGGTTTTGCGCTCAGCTCTAAGCTGCGTGCAGTCACTCAACGTCCCTTGGAGAGTTCTAGCAAATACGCTGGCCATCCCTCCCCCTTAGAGTTCCAGGAACCTAGTCGCGGCTGTCTCCCACCCTCAACTCTACACTATGGAGGTCACTTTGGTCTTCTCAAAGCCTCTTTACCTCATCTCTGAGCTCAAAGTGCGAGTGAGGGAGGCGTATGTCGACCCACGTCACCTTTGCTTCTGCCACATTGCCTGTCTTTGTCCCCACCTCCATCTTTGGCTCCCTTGTACCCAGTAAGAGGGTTTGGTTTCCCTTGTACCCAGTAAGAGGACAGACACAGGGCTTTGTCTCTGTCTTCCAATGCAAATGGGTTGGGGTCCAAAGGAACCAGCAAAAAATCAGGCTTCTGGGAGGCACGTGGAAGCCTAGGAACCTGCCTGCTCACTTTATAGCTAAGGCCCCACTCTGTGTGCAAAGGATGCCCAGACCTTGCACCCACAACAGATAGAGACAGGCGTGGGTTCTTGGCCTAAGACTATTCTAGGCTCTCTATAGCCAGTGAGCCCTCCCCAGTCCACTGGGCAGTTTTGACGCAAAGCACTTCATTTAGAGTCAGAAGATTATATATGTGGGGAACTTCCTCCAACCCCTGATCACGCTGCTGGAATTTGAAAGAGCAAATTCATCCTGATTTGCAAGGAACCTCCACCAAGTCACAGCAGTGGAAGCCCTCCCAGGGAGCCGTCTAGTGCTGCTCAGGGTCCATCAATGAGCTCCGTCAGCGTCTCTGGGCCAGTGCAGCTCCAGGTGTGTGCTGCACACAGTCACTGTCATGAGCAGCTGTGTGAAGTGCTTAAATTCGTTTCCCTGTGTCTTCTTGGAATTTACTTTTGTACAAATAGTACCATTTACCAAGTATCAGGATTGAGGTTCATAGAAAATAGTAACTGTGGGGGGTCAGGTATATGGCTCAATGAGTAAAGTGCTTGCTGCTCAGGCTTGAGGACCTGAGTTTGAATCCCCAGCACCTACATAAAAAGCCAGGAGTGGTGGTACAAGTCTGTAACCCCCAGTGTTGAGCTGAGGGTGGGTGGAGAGAGGTGGGTCACCAGGATTTGATGGCCACCCAGTCTGACAGAAATAAAAGAAGTTCTAAATTCAGCAAAAGATCTTGTCTCAAAAATGTCAATCTTCCACATTCACCACAAGCACACACACACACACACACACACACACACACACACACACAGAGAGCCCAGGCTGTTCTAGTACCCAGCCCCTCCTGCTCCTACTTCTCAAATGCTGGGGTTACACCTGACCCCACTTTTAAATGGCCTGGTGGCACAGTCCTGAAATGCCAGGTACTTGGGAAGCTGAGGCAGGGGAATCAAACATTCAAGGCCAGACTGGGCTGCAAAATGAGTTCCAGGCTAACCTAAGAAACTTGGTGAGATCTGGTGTCAAAACAGCCAAAGATGCTCTAACACATCTCTCCACCAAAAAAGAAAAAAAAAAAAAAAAGCTCAGTGTTAGAGTTCCTGACTAGCATGCTAGACATCCTCACTAGACATGTTACTCAGTAACCCACCCAACACATAACCCACAATGTGAGGCACCTCTGACACTGGAATAGAAAGGGAATATGAATAAAGGGTCGAGATGTTTCTGTGCTGTGAGGGTGGGACACTACACACACACACACACACACACACACACACACACACACACACACACACCCCCCTAACCCAGCTCACAGCTGCAGTCTTCCATTCAGAGGAAACTCATAATGTAATTCAACTTTACCCTAAGATACTTCCCCCTCTTTTGGGGCTGGAGGTGTAGAGATAAAGGGACTAATGAGTCCAGAACCAGATCCCCAAACTATCGAGTCAATCGGTCACCCCAGTTCCTTCTTTCTTTTTTTTTTCTTCGAGACAGGGTTTCTCTGTGTAGCTTTGGAGCCTGTCCTGGAACTCACTCTGTAGACCAGGCTGGCCTTGAACTCACAGAGATCCGCCTGCCTCTGCCTCCTGAGTGGTGGGATTAAAGGCGTGCACCACCACCACCACCACCACCACCACCACCACCACCACCACCACCCAGTCCAGTTCCTTATTTCTAAGTCACACAAAGAAAACCAGAGGTAGAATCAAAATGGCTTTTTATTCACATATTTTGTAGAAAAGGGGGTTTAGTAAACAGGACAGAGCCGCATGAAAAACTCCGGGTTGGTCCATACTATTTACACGTGGGAGGGGCATTGTCCTCACATCAGGCACAGCACGTGCACTTGTCCGATGCCCCTTTGCAGACACAGCCCTGGGCACACTTGGAGCAGCCCACGGGGCAGCAAGAGCAGCAGCCTGGAAACAGGGGAGGAGAGGAAGAGGTGAGAGCTGGCTGAAGACCTGTTTCTTGCCCCCAACAAGAAGGGGGTTGTCTTAGAACAGCTCTGGCCTGAGACAATACACCAGCCCTGGGAGCTGTAGCGCAGAAGGCTTGGAGGAAGAGCTGAACTGCCTCGGAAGCAAAGGGCATTCCTCAGAGCCAGCTCTGTGAGTGTTCCCGCCTAACCGTAGCCACCACCTGAGGTATCCTTCCCTACTCACTCTTCTTGCAGGAGGTGCACTTGCAGTTTTTGCAGCCGCAGGAGCTGGAGCAGGTGCAGGGGCTGCCTGTGGAAGAGAAAGGAGACAGCAGTGGGTAGAGAGAAATGCAGGAACACACCGGGGGGGCGGGGGGACGACAAGGCCACTCAGGACTCCAGGAAGCCTAGCCCCACTTCTCACCGAGTAGGGTAGGGCTTGCGTTTTTGATGCCCAAGACACAACGGTCCCTCACCTCTCTCCTAGTCTAGGCAATTCATAATAAGTTTAATATAATGCCTGGGGCTCAACCCAGATGTCCCCACTACCTGACCAACAAAGGAGCCGTTCGGATAATGTTAATATTTCAAGAATAGATGAAGGTGCTTGCAGAAGGAGACGCTAAAAAAAAACCTTGAATGCATCTCCAACTAAAAGCGCGATTCCCGCCGAGACCCTAGACTACATCCTCTACAGCTGCGGGAATCCGCTCTGCGGTCCTTACTGGGTATTCTAAAGACCAAGAACCGGGCGTCTCTTACCGGTGGAGCAGGAGCAGTTGGGGTCCATTCCGAGATCTGGTGAAGCTGGAGCTACAGAGCAAGGGACGAGAAGACAGTCAGGCTTCTGGAAGTCGTGATGATGCCTAGCGGGCGGTCTGCTCTTTATAGTCGTGGGACCGGTCCGGGCGCAGAGTTTGCACTCAGCAACCGGTTGCTCTTGCCCTCGCTGAGTCACGCGCCTCGCGTCCTTGGCAGAGCCGAGCGCACCCTTCGGGCGGGCGGGGTGCAGAACTCCCTAGGGCGCTGGAGTGCACTGCGGGACCGCCCCTTTGGCACCGCTGGCCCGGGAAGGAGGCCCTGTGTGACAATGCGGTACATCGTGTCCCTGTAGTGCCTTCCCTGAGATTACAGCCTATCATTACTCCGGTGCATTACGAGAACTCACCCCGGGGCCCCCGACTGTCCCCCTAAATCCATCCGAGGCGCCTGCTCTCGGCTTCTCCTTTCCCGGAGTTCCTGGGCAGCCGCCAGCCGGGTCATCACGTCTCTGAATTGAAGCTGGCAGAAGCAAAGGAGACAGTTTTGTAAAAAGACAAGCCTTGATCATGAACTTTCCCAGTCCTCATTGTCCATCTGTCCCATCATAATCCTTGGTACTCTTCCTCCTGGACACAGCACCAGGGCCAAACAAGTCTCATCTTAACACCTTCATTCCGGGCTCCTGAGAAGTCTAGGCACATTCGGAGACTGGGTATCGCACACCTTACTTACCCTATCTGCTCTACTCCAGGGTAGCGGTTTTAAAAACTGGGGATGTTGCCGGGCGGTGGTGGCGCACGCCTTTAATCCCAGCACTCGGGAGGCAGAGGCAGGCGGATCTCTGTGAGTTCGAGGCCAGCCTGGGCTACCAAGTGAGTCCCAGGAAAGGCGCAAAGCTACAAAGAGAAACCCTGTCTCGAAAAACCAAAAAAAAAAAAAAAAAAAAAAAAAAAAAAACTGGGGATGCCTTCCCTCCAGTGGGATCATTTTAAGTGGTATCCAGGGACTACATTAGATTAAAACGCGATAGAAGTCGCGATTTATTTATTTATTTATTTTATTGGTGGTTTGCTTGCTCTCTTAGGCTCTTTAATGTTTTGGTTTATTTGGAAACAGGGTCCTGTGATTCAACATCTCAGCCTCCCATGTGGTGGAATTACAGGCCTTATCTTAATTTTTGTACGTGACTTGATTTCCTCATGACTGTTAGACGAAACTGTTGGCATGTAGGGTTAAGCTTAGCTGACCTCTAGCCTCCGGTAACTCTGAAGCTAAAATGTTGTGGGTGATACAGTCAGAGAGATTATCCGTGCTCTGCTGTAGCCCACCTGCTTGATGCTACTAAATACAATACCAAACGGATTGATCATGCCTTTCTTTAATTCTCTGTCTGAAAGAGCTACTGTAGCCTCTCACGCCATGAAACTCAGCATTCCAGGCAATGTTCACTTACTGAGCCATGGTCCCTCATATTTGGCTCAGAAAAAAAGCTGTCATTTTCTATAAAGCAATATCTTCTGTGTTTGTTGTTTGTTTGAGACAGGGTCTCTCTTTGCAGGCTGGTGAAGCTGCCCTTGGACTCCTGATCCATCTCCTGAGGCCAGGCCTCAGAGTGCTTATCTTACCCAGACAGTGGACAGAGTACAGGATGGGCGGGAGGGGGGTGGCTGGACATGGGAGCAGACCGGACTCTACTTAGCAGAGCACACAAGTTTGCCTTTTCCTCCATTTTCGAGGCTTGAGGGCATGCATAATCAAATTATATGTCCTCCTATGCATGAAATTCTCCTGTGGATGCCCACAGACTGGTCTGCCTCACTAGCTGCAGGATCCCAGTTCTGAAATTGAGTATGCCTCCACCTCAGGAAGAATCAATTTAGGTGATATCTTCAAATAAGGAGACAAGGAAATTTTAGCCACTCTGAACATACAATACACCACAGTTCCACCCACAGGAAAAGGCAAACCTGTGTGCTCTGCTAAACAGAGTCCGGTCTGTTCCCATGTCCTGCCCACCCCCCTCCCACCCATCCTGTACTCTGTCCACTGTCTGGGTAAGATAAGCTTAAGTCCACTCATGTTCACAGTCACTAGGCCAAGTGAAGAGCAAAGGATATGAGAAGTTAGCCAGGCTTTGGGGTCTGTAAAGAGGCTGAGGCAGCAGCCTGGCCACAGGGGCTTTGTACTCATCATGTGCATTTCCTTGGTCCACGATCAGGAAGGCTCCCTCCGAAGCCTCCATCCCACAGTGTCCTCTCTCACAGTTCTCTGCCAAGTTAGGAGCTGGCCAACGTGGGACTCTCTCTCCAGTGTAGCAGTAACGCTGGCGCTACCACCCCCCACCCGTTCACCATGTGCAAGCGAGGGGCTGAGGATTAAAGAACAGAGACAAGACAGCCGGTCATTCGTCACAGCAGAATGCAGAATGCGGTTTATTGAAGAAGGGAGGAAACCTTAAATACAGACTTACAGCACAATGGGAGAACCCTGGAGGGCAGAAGTTCACTACCAATGTGGGCAGAAGTTCGCTACTGATGTTTTACATACTTGCATTCTAGCTGTTTATGCCAAATGTAGGATACACAAACAAAGAACCTCTGGTGAGCGTTCAGGAGGAAGGAAACCGGGGAATCAGCATAGGGAGGACATCTGGTCAAGGTCAGCAAGCAGGGCAACAGCTACCCAAAATGGGGGGCCAGGGCCCAACACTCCAGGAAGTCCATGTGGATAGAATGCTCCTACTTGCCTTATTTATGAAGCCTCAGCCAGGAACCAGCTCCTCTCTCATTAATACCTAGTTAGAATATAATCTCCTTCCTGTGAAAGAAGACTCGCAACTGAATCTGTGGGTTCCTTTCTACACGCTATCGTTTACAAAGTTTGAGGGGCAGGCAGTGAGTGGAGCAGAGGAGCTCTTGCTCAAGTCCCCTTCACGTCAATGATCGAGGTAAGGGTTCTGGGTTTTTACTAGGATGTGAGCATACATACATTAGTGTTTTGATTATTATGCGCCATGTGTGAGACGCTTGACATTAGAGCATTAAATGGGAAGGAGAGGTTTCCAGTGGGGAAGGTGTCTCTTTCTTCCCTAATGTGGGTGTGGTTCAATCTGGCATGGCACCTGTCTGTGTCCTTTTTCTCATTATAATAAGCTTCTAATGAGCCCGAAGCTATCTTGGGTGTCAATGTGTCTGGACCAGCAGAATCTGGTCTGGAGCCTCCCTCCGCGGTTGGGAATGTGTGACAATGAGGTGATTGGCAGCTGGGAGCATGTGGTTGTCATCATCTAGGCTTTAACTGAGTGACAAGGCAACAGGGTATCAGTATTTGAGGGGTTCAGTGTGGGGACGTAACCATAGGCTCTGTCAGATGTTCAGTGACTTATCCAGGTTACGTGACCAGCAAGGAGGGAAGTGGGCTGCAAACCAGGACTTCCTGGCACCAAACAATACAGGCAGCCTTGTAAACTTCTTCACACAGAATGCCTAAAGGCAAGCTTGGTCCCGACTCCCGCCCCAGAAACTCATTTTTCCCTTTGATTGAACACCAAATTTCATTAGCTCAACAAATAACCAGGGGCATTAACCGTTGGTTCTAATTGTGTCATTCAGGACCTTACAGCTTCCTGAAGAGTACCACCCCATCCTCCAACTTGCAGACTCCACCTAGATGCCTTGCTCCTGGGAAGATGCTGGGCAATTCCTTCCAAATTTCTACTTTGCATTTCTAAGTTGTCAGGGGTTGGAATGAGTGAGGGGCAGTTTCTTTCTGACTCTGAGAGGGACTTCCAAAGATTGACAACCAACTCATGTCACTGTGCTCTCTGGAAAAAAAATGTTCCTGTCAGTGTCCCTATGCACCAGAGATGGGTAGGTCCTCATGGGAGGTCCAGGTTGGATACGTTGTGCCATTTAGTTTCCAGTCTGCAAGGCAAACCCTTGGATATGTAGTGCAATTTTTCATGATTTTGTTCATGTTACTTAATTTTTAAAAATAGATTTTGAGCCAAGCCTGTATTTCCAGCATTTATGAGTCTAAGGCAGGAGGATTGCAAGTTCAAGTATAGTTTGGGCTACACAGTAAGATCTAGTCTCAAAACCAAAGGTTACCAAATTTTGAGACCAAAATTTGACTTCAAAGTTTCAGTGATCCTTCTACTTCAGCCTCCTAAGTGCTGGGATTATAAATGGGAGTCACACTGGGTGGCAGTGGTGCACGCCTTTAATCCCAACACACGGGAGACACAGCCAGGCTGATCTCTGTGAGTTCGAGGCCAGCCTGGTCTACAGAGCGAGTTTCTTTCTTCCTTTCCTTCTTTCGAACCCGAACTCAAGAGATTCATCTGCTTCTGCCTCCTGAGTGCTGGGATTAAAGGCATGCACCATCACCCAGTTCCTCGACTCATACTTTTTATTTATCAAAGTTGTAGGTTGTTTTTTTTTTTGAGCTGAGGACCGAACCCAGGGCCTTAGCAATCACTCAACCACTGAGCTAAAACCCCAACCCCAAAGTTGTAGGTTCTGGCATTCCATACTTGTCTTTTCTCGAGACAGGGTTTCTCTGTGTAGCTTTAGCACCTTTCCTGGAACTCACAGAGATACGGATTAAAGGCGTGCACCACCACTGCTCGGCCATACTTGTCACTTTTAAGCCTAAAATCCAACTGGATTTGGAGAAAGAAACCAGAATAACCATCATATATCTAGGGGGTAGAGGTGTGTGGCTCATCAGAGCACCTGGTTTAGGATGCAGGGAGCCCTGAGTTTAACCCCCGATATACAACTGCACATTGGGATCGGCACATTTCTGTGACTAGTGCATCCTCTTGCCCACCACTCCCCGGATGATAAAAGCCAGAGAGGTAATCTGTCCAGCCCAAGTCACAGTCTGAGCTCAGAGTTCAAGCCTCTGCAGTTCCATTTCACCCCTGCCAGTCCCTTATTGCCAAGGCATACAAAGACAAGCTGAGTTAAGTCAACGCTTTTTATTATCAGTTACATGCTTTCATAGAAAGGTGTGGAGAATAGGCCAGGGTTGTAAAAGAAATGATGTTTCTACACATTGCTCTATTTACACACGGCTGAGGGGGTCCCGCTTCAGGCACAGCAACTGCACTTGTCCGAAGCCTCTTTGCAGATGCATCCCTGGGAGCACTTCGCACAGCCCACCGGGCAACAGGAGCAGCAGCCTAGGGGAGAAGA